GATTCGAATCTTTTAGATTTAAAAAGGCAGCTGCGGTGAGCATTTTGCTTTTCTCGGAAGAATTTAGACATTAATTTAAGCTTTTGTTTTAATCGACTAATTGCAAATTTTTTTTTTTTCAGAATGAAGATGTTGGAGTGGTTTCGCCGGAGGTTCCGACGGAAGAATGCGGTGGCGCCGGAGGGAGGGGGTTCCTCGGACGGCTCCAATGAGACCGGTAGTTCGGTGTCGTTGGGGACCTCCGACCGAGAGGCAGTCGAAAGACTTTACCAAATGCTTGTGGAGTTGAACTCTGCCGAAGACGCTCCCGTCTTCGGGGGAGTTCTGAGTCCATTCCACTTGGTGAATGTCGTCAGGAGTCAGCCAGCCACAGACCTTGTTGTGGAAGACGTAGAGAGTGTCGAGTTCTCTTGGAGTTCGACGTCACTTTCTACTTTCGCGACGTCTTCTGCCTCTGCGTCCGCGCTCGCGAGCTCGTCGCCATCGTTTTTCCGAAGGCGGAACGGGGAAGCATCGGAGGAGAGCGCCGCCGAAGTCGAGGAACCGCGGGTTTGTTGCTGCGGGTGGCTGCGGATCCCTCGGCCTAGGCGGTGATCCTCTTCGATTTTCCCCAACTCGTCCTTTTCACCCGGATGCGACATTCTGACCGGATTCGACACTTTTCACCCGGACATGACCTCTTTACTCGGACGTGGCCTTCTCTTACCCGGATGTTCTCACGGACTTGTCTCCCGAACGTGACACTCGATCGACGACAACGGATTTGACTTCCGATTGTGACCACCCGGACTTGACACGTTTCTTCACCGGACGCGACATTCGGCCGACCTTTCTTCCCAAACAGCTGTTACGAGGATTGAGCTTCTGGTTAGGTTAGGTTAGGTTAGGTTAGGCTAGGCTAGGTCAGGTCCTTCGCTCTCCTCATGACACTGTTCGGGAAGAAAGACTATCTGATAAAGGTAATAATGTTGACCTTAGATAATAAATGAATCAACTTCTCCTTTTCTCACTGTCTTTGTGTTTTGTAGGAACATTTGGGAGGGAGAAGGATCTCCCTCCCCAACTTTACCACGAAGAGGACGAAGTGGCCATTTATCGCACAAGTGAATGTTTTCCGAAATCTCCGATGGTAAGAACGCTTTCGTTTCATTTTTTAACACGTCTCATTCTCGTATCGTAATTTACTGTTTTTCTGTTTTTAGACATGCCGAAGATGTTCTTGGATCGCACACACACACACACACACACGCACGGATATAACATCACTGTACACGAAGATATACACCGTTTAACCTTTACTCGAATTCTCGCACTCACGCATTTACACGTCAAGCGCCACGTTCTGTGTAATTCCACACAATGAAACAACCCGAACACACGCTTCCCACAAATCCAACCCCTGGGTCCTCGTCCCGGGAAGTGGAAACGCCAATTTTAAAGATTAAAACACTTTAAATTGGCGGCCGAAGGGGCTCTGGTAATCACACATCTTGCATGGATTAAATAGAATTTCAGACATTAGCATCAATAATCGTTTTGTGATGAATTTTTCTGTTAAATTTAGTGTGGTAAGAAATTATCTGCGCACAAATCTCGCTCGTAGTATTTCTAACTCTTACTTAAGATCATTAAAGATCTTAATCTTTATACCCATTTTTGGTTTCTCAAGATCCACGATGTGGGCTGCAGGACTGTATGACACGGGACTTGACAGACCGCCCTGGGTTCTTCAACAGCACGAATCGATGTCAGAGCGGTAGACCGAAGTCTTAACCGCTCAAACATCCAGCCGTCACCTTGTTATACTAGGTCTTGAAAGTATAACAAGTAGCGACACTTCCATATAAACAGTTTCTTATTGTACACTAGAGATTTGCACATAAATTGTTTTTAGTTGGTCTGCAATGTACCATATCTCTTAAACAATATATACTTTCGGTGACTATTTTGTTCACGACGCGTTTTAGGATCTTAATAGCCAATTATTTCTAACACGACCGGATTTCAACAAATCTAACCAAACTTGGGCCAAATGTTATACATATAACACATAGGAAAGATGGATGGGAGGCCGACAAAGTCACGCTTGGATCGACTCGGGGCCGGTTTTGGTAGGTATGCAGTGCATGCATGCACGCTGGCGGCCGATAGTGCTCTAAAAAATATAATTTTTCATACTGTAAATATAATAATCAACTGTCTCCTGCCGGTCGTTATCTAACTCCTTTCGAGGAAGAACTTTTTGAATGATGTATAGTTAATCGGGACATGCCGCCTCTAAGCTTTCTATATTTGGTCTTAAGTTTCATGTATCGAACTCCGTTCTCGAGATTAAGTAAGTTAATAGCTTGAGAAACTCCAAAAAATGAAAAGAATATTGAATATGAGTGCGAAGAGATGGTAAGCAATTAAAATCAGCGTTGGGAAGAGTTTTGTTTAAAATTAAGTATATATCGTATACCTTATAATCCTGGATAGAGAAGGACTTGCATCTTTTTCCGCCTACGTACTGTACAGTACATGCAATCAAATGGCTGAGTGATCAGAGACAAATCCATTATTAATATTAGTACACAATATAAAATAAATATTGAAAATTATAACAAAATAGTTACGGCTAATAGATATATTATATTTAAATTAGTAGATGTTATCGAAGCAAGAATTGGCATTTAGAGGGCATAGGGAATCTATTAAATCTAATATAACAGAGGTAATTATATTGAACTTGCTTATTTATTAAGTGCGTTAGATAATCTATTAATTAAAAATACATTTAGAGAAGTCTACGGTTTTTACTGGCTTATCGAACAAACGAATACGAATGGACCCTAGACCATCACTGACTGGTTGCCCCTGGAAGTCGGCTTCTTACAGAAACACAGTTTCCCTATCATCAAATGTCACGGCACGCCACTGCAATTTAATACCCCTAAGTACTCAATGAAGACTAAACGTAATTAAAAACAAAAAATTCGCATCTAAAACAGTACAGTAAAAGCCATTTTTCTGGTTAAGCCATAATCCTCTCCCTCTCCCCCCCCCCGCGGTGGAATTTCGTAAAATTCCTTCTCAGTGCGCGTTTTCATGACGTACCCTAACTCTGTACCATTTCACCTCTTTAGGTTCAGCGGTTTGTTCTGGGCGATAATAAATCAGTCATTCAGTCAGGACAAGAAATTTTATATATTTAGATTATTTTTTAAATAAAGTTATAAATAATTATTATTAGAGGAGAAAATGGTATTTTGGAACCCCAATTACATTTTAGTGAATTGTAAACAAGGTATCATAACTACACCCACATTTTTTGTGCAAAAAGTACTTGTAACTATTAAACTAAATGTTCCTAATTGGATTTTTCGTTAGTGTAACTATAAGTATGGTTTTTGAAGGCTTTTGTACAAAAAGTCAGAAAGTAGGCTTAGAGAAAATCGGGTGGTAATATGGAACCTTACTGTATATTTTCAAAAAATGCTTTAATGTAGCCAAAAACAAATAGGAAAGTACAAAAAATGTTAAATAATTACAAAATCATTTACTCCAATGTATTTTAACGCAAAAATGAAAAGTCATAAGATGGCAACTACTTTAATGAGAAAAATAGTCTAATTTTTTTATTCTCAGCAACTACAACATTTGGTAAAATATAGACTAATAGTCTACAAAATTTAATTTTTGAAAAACAAGAATATTTAATACTGTATTTTAAATTTAGTCTATATGTAAATGCACCATCTTACCCCACCTATGAGTTTTATTTTTATAGACTATAGACTACAAGAAGGACAAATTAAAATGGTTAAACTATCGCTTTCTTCAATATTGGCGCAAGAACAGTGTGCCCATTTATCACAACTGCTACATTTATTGTTATTTTTCAAATAAATAAACATAAAAGTTTGAACTTACTTGTCGACTATTTACTTTACCAGACGATACTGTCACTTCGCGCATGCTCAGTTTCGCTATTTTCTAAACACGATATTTTTTTCATGAAAAAAAATGTTTATTACGATTGTTATCTTACATTTTATTTCTTGTTAAGATAGTATTTAAATTAAAAAAATGTTTTCATAAATAAAATAAAACGTAAAACATTATTTTATGGTTTGAATTTGTTGGTAATACTGAACACCAGGCGAGTTGGATTCCGTATTAAAAGCACCGATGGGGTCCATATTTCACGCGTCTCCATCTTGGGTTAACTTAATTCCTGACGGCACCAAACTTTAAAAACGTGAAAATCACACAGATTAATATGTATCCCTAAGTCTCTGGAACGGAATACATGCACCAGTGAACCTACAACTACACGATTTATATTTTAAAAATAATTAATGAATTCACTTAGCATTCAAAACTTGCGAATTTTGAAAAAAACAAATTTACCGATTAAATACGGACAACTGTTTAACTGAAGTAAAACGGGTTTTCCCCTCGCTATGGATGTCTGCCTAGTTCAGTTCAGCCACATTCCGCTACAGTTCGCCTTTATTATCAGTTCGAAATGGGGTGGTTCCATAATACCCGCAGTGTTCCATAATACCACCTTCTCCTCTATATTATGTGGTGATGTAAATCAGGTGTGGCCAAACTTTTATACTTTAGGGGCTACTTTTTCGGTAAAATATAGTCTGCGAGCGACTATGAATATGTCACGTTACTGTCTGACACATGATTTTGCGCCATTTTATGCGATTGCCATTTATATGTGTATGCGTTAACATTCGTTTGCATTGTTCATTGGGATAAATACAAACAGTATGGATACGTTGCACAGACAGTCTATTATTGTAAGAATAAATTATCGAATTAAGATTTTTAAACATTATCGAATTAAGATTTTTAAGAATTATCGAATTAAGATTTTTAAGAATTATCGAATTAAGATTTTTAAACATTAATTTAAGTGAAAGCAAATTGTTCAACTTTAGCTTCGCGGGCTACTTTCAAAACCTTTGCGGTCGACCGGTCGACCGCGGTCTACGTATTGGCCATCCCTGATGTAAATGTTAGAAAGATGTTTAAACATATAAACGATGTTCGATAAGGAAATTGTTTCTTTTACATTGCATAAAGATAAATAAACAATTACACATAAAAATTATCGTTATGCTTTGTGGCATTGTAAATAATAATTCCACGATTGTGGAACTAGAATATAGTCGGAGTTAATGCAACCTCCCTTCTTCTTCTTCGCGTTGTCCCACAGATATAGGATCCGTTATTTGAATCTTCGAACGGCACTTTGTTCTCGAGTGCATCGTCTAGGTTCAGGTGCAGAACTCTTAGGTCTGCATCTTGCCATCGTTGCTTCGGTCTTCCGCGTGGCCGGCGGCATTTTACCTCTAGGTGGTAGGCAATGTTCGCAACTGTATCTGGAGCTGATCGCAGTACGTGGTCAAACCAGCGCAGGCATCTCTCTCTCATTTTTGCCTCAATGGGCGCGATGCCAAATTGTTGGCGTATTGTGTCATTGGTAATATGGTCGAGGGGGGATACACCAAGCTTCCTGCGAGCCATGCGCATCTCCATGGAATGGAGACGCCGTTCAGCTGCTCTCGTTGATGGCCAACATTTGGAACCATAAAGAGCAATGAGTCGTATCACATTCTGGTAGATTTTCGATTTTAGGTACTGTTCATGGGCATCTTTTTGTCGCAGAGAACACCGCTATATAAATTTCAAGAGCCTACAACGAACGTAAGTCGTGTCGGTCAAGGTTTATTTATTACAAAAGTTTTTAGAAAGCAGAGAAACAAATTAAGCGCTTTGAAAAAAATCAACCTACTAAATTGATCTATTTGAAATACATTGGAACCTCGCCTAGCGAGGTTCCAATGTACCCCAGAATCCAATGTATAGTATTCCAGAATCTTACTCGTAATGAGAAACAACTCGTTAAGCGAAACAATTTTTCCCATAGAAATTAATGTAACATACAATAATGCGTTCCATGCCGAAAAAAGACTCAAATATTTTATGTATAACGTTTATTCAAAGAACATTATACAATATACATTGTTATTAAGGAGCGTGAATCATCTTCATCTCTCTTCTAGCGCGAAATGAACTAATCTGAAATGCGATTTCGAATTGCAGAGAACAAAAAAAAAAAAAAACAATTCGAAATACAGTAATTTCTAATTTTTAATTATGGCCTTAACATAGCCTAAGAATATGGCATATCGTATGGCGTGTTTTTTAAATAACGGGATATGGTTGTTAATGTTTATATGTAATATGTCTGAACACAAGTTTGGAAAAATGTGTGATCACAAGCCACACTAAGATGCTAGTGAAATGAGTGCTAAACACAAACTAATGGTGCATGCGCACAATCCGGGACTTTCCCCTCCTCGTTACTCGTTATGCGAAACGTCCCTCGTTAAGCGAATCATTTTTTACAATTTATTTTGCTCGTTATGCTAATTACTCGTTATAGTTAAGCGAAGTTTCACTGTATTTTGTTATTTCAAGATCAAAATTGAAGATGCATCCCACACTACAGTTTATTTATTTTTTCCTTTTTTTTAATCATATCGAGCATCTTTTTTTCAGCCAGGTCCACAATGGAGTAAGTAGAGTAGTAAAGAACGGGACACGACATAATAATTATGTCGTGTCCCATTCTTTACTACTCCCATATTCCGAGTCTGTTCCCATATTTCTCGAAAACATTTCTGGAGAAAAACTTGGCCGAATTTAATTCCGGATTTCCCAGAGCGATAGTTTGATGCCCTGATCACCACAGCAATTTAACTATCTACGAAATTATACATTTATATAAAATAGCCACAATACACAACCATTTATCATGCAGTGAACGCTTATTATTATAATGTTTTCGGTCTTCTTAATCGACCTTCTTCAGGAAATATCTAAACTTTATAATTTAGAAAGAACAAAGTCACTTCTTCTAAAAAGGTTTACAACGTTCGTTTTTGGAACGAGACAAACAAGCGCGCGCATTTTTAAAATTTGTTTTGTTCCAAAATTCGAAACGATGTAAACCTTTATAGAAAAAGCAACTTTGTTCTCTTTTAAATTATAAAAATTCAGATAATTTCTGAAGGTTGATTAAGAAGATCGAAAGCATTAAAATAATAAACGTGAATGCATGATAAATGTAGCTAATACTGAGAAAATTAAAAAAATACGTAGCCTAACAGAAAAAAATATATATATTATTTTTCTAAGATTATTAAAAACATTGAAAATGTATAAATTATTTTTCTAGTTACTATAAATCAGTTATTCGCTTCCATCAGAAAGGCATAGACTAAATTCGAATCACATTCAAAATGAATTTTATCCTACAATTCAAATTCATGTTTCGCTTCTTTTATCGTTTTAAAATGTGAATAATGAGCCTATTAATGCACTACAACATACCACTTTATGTTAATTATGATCTCAGAACTTGCTATTTTGTTTTTATTATTCGAACTTCGGAACTTCGAAGATATATTTTTATATTTCTGTTTTGCTCTAATAACCTTATATATTACATGCATTAAAATTAAATCGTAATAATTTATTCTTTTATAATAAAAAATATTTTAAATTTTAATTTGCAACTTACATTAAAGCTCTTAAATATTCAAAAACATCAACTCGAAAATTAATCGGTTTGGATGATGACGTCAATTTTATTCGAAAATATATTCAAATTTATATATCTAAAATTATGATTTTTGTATATTCAAAAATCTGTAAAGTATTAAAATATTTTTAAATATTTATTAAAAATTTTTTGAAACTTATATATATAGTACTCACCAGAGATAAATTTTATGCTAAAGAGCGTTTTCTATGCTTCGAAATATATGATTCATTAACGATATCTCTGTTCTCTGCTCCGAACATGACGTCATGTGTAATTTGAACGAATTTTGGAACACGTTATTGATATACAGTAGATCATCGATTATCGAAATATCGATTAATCGAAACGTCAATTAACCGAAAGCTTTCCAGTCGGCAAATTTAAATTTCCGCTAATACTGTGGCGCTGCAATCTTTGGCTATGTCTTGGGCTACTCCAATATTATTTTTGTTGGTGTGCGTGTTTTAACTGGCAGCACAGCGCGACCATAAGAGGATACTTAAGGGAGTGTCAGGATTTGAACGAATTTCAACGTGGGATAGGTTAATATATTTTTTCGTACATAATCAGTTATTCGAAAAATCGATTTTCCGAACAATCCCAGTCCCCAATTGATTCGGATAAGGATAGCCTCTTCTGTGAAGGAAAGTTCAAAATTTGCCTGTCCATGTCTCTCAGGAACGAGGATGGCCTCTTTTTTGATGGCAAGTGAAAGTTCGCCTTCCGCGTCTTTCACTTGTCATCAAAGGATCGCTTCTTTCTTTCCAGCTCCGCCTCAATTCTATCGCGATACGACAAAAGTCGCGCGATATCCTAGTTCTTTTAAATTAGCCTTAATATTATCACGTTCCTTAAATCGGATTTTAGAAACATAACTTTAAGGAAAACATTGATCTAATTTTTATAATAATAGTAGTTTATGGATAAAATGAATGGAGGATATTTTACAGTGGATCCAGTTAGACGGCCGGATGACCGAGCGGTTATGGTGACAGCCTACTACTCTGGGTTACCCGGGATCGAATCCGAACGGGTCAAGGAATCCTCAGGAATTTTTCGGGGGTGGTCCATTCGGATATGTCGGGCCCCGTCCTTCACCACCCGGTCGCCTCATTGTGGGCCTAGCCGAACCCATAATGGGCCTGCTATTAGAGGCCCTCTTAGTGCTCACAGGGTGGAAAGAGTATAAGAAAATGGATCCATTTATGCAAAAAACATGAAAACGCGAAATAAAATTACATTGTTATATTATCATCACTTGCCCAAATTGGTGAAAGTGTGCATCAATAACATCTGATTTTTGACGAGACTATGTCTCGTCTCTAAAATCGCGTTGCTGTCAAAGGCTGCACATCTTATAGGTATGAAGGAGTACTATACATTCAGTAATAACAAAGAGATTGAAGAGGTACAGTTCAGGTGACTTTTTTTTTTTTAATTTTTTTCGCCCTGTGGGCACTAAGAGGGCCTCTATTTGCAAGTCCATTATGGGTTCGGCCAGGCCCACAATGGGGCTACCGGGTGGTGAGGGACGGGGCCCGACATATCCTAACGGATCACCCCCGAAAAATTCCTGGGGATTTTTCGATCCGTTCGGATTCGAACCCGTGTCCCCCAGAGCGGTAGGCTGCCACATTGACCGCTCGGCCATCAGGCCAGTTCAGGTGACTAATGAGCATTAAGAAACTCTCATAAATGCGTTTTATTGATAGTTATATTTCAGGGAATTCTGCTGAGAGATTTGAGTTGACGTTGTAACAACTTTTTCCCCATAAAATATATGATTATCCTGAACTGGCGTTAGCGTGTTTGCCTGTATACAGGACAAGCCCAAGAATTTCACCTAGGCAACTGCTAAGTCCGCCTATAGTGCTCGAATCGGCTCTGCCTGTATGTAAAAAAAGAGTAAATTTTGATAATTGTATACGTCGTATAAAAATTTCATTTAAAATTAAATTTTTTTACACAAATAAAAATAAATAATAAATATAATCCGAAAAATAAACTGTATTAGTCTATAAACTAAAACTTATTCTAATTAATTTTCAATACAAAGCAACGAATTGCTCAACTTTCCTGGTAACATTTTAAATTTTGGTGGCCCCATCTGTTTTCATATTTTATTTATAAACTTTTCATATTTTTAACTATTATAAAATTGGCAAAAGCTTAATTTTGAGGATAGGGATGAGTTTTATAGAAAAATTGTAAATGCTAATAAAGAATAAAATCGTTGTTAAGTCCCACCGTACTCGTTATACACACGATCCCTACGACCTTTAACCATCAAAATTTAATAGCACAAATCGCCCTGCAAAATTTCAGAAATTTCCGATAAAAAACACGACAGTTTCTAAGTTTCAAAATAGATGAACAAAATCGATTTTGACTTTTAATTAAATTTTGTGTACCGATATGAGTCCGGTCGGCATAACATTTCAGCCTTGAATCTCTGGAACTTCATGTTGATCCATGCAGATACTGTAGTTACTTCATCAAGCCGCTCCCATTGACGGCCTGGCGGAACTCATCATGGGCTTACTAAAAAAGATCCTCACAGAGCGGAAAGAGTTTTAAAAAAAGTTAGAATAATTTTAGATACAAATTTAATTTAATAATATTTATTATTTTAAAGTTTATTATTACATTTAATAATAAAATTTATTAAATATTTCTACGACGTAAAAGATTTTTATAAAAAGTTACGTAATAGAATATGTTACATATAGAAAATGACGAAAACATCTGCCGGTAGGTGGATTTAAATTAAAGTGTCAGTGATAAGATTATACCACACCAAACAAGAAGTCAGAAACAAAGAATCTTAGATAGGGGTAATATAAAATTATTAATGTTTAATTGATTTCTTTAAATGTTTTCTTATATTAATGGCTTTAATATATTTCATTGTATACATGTCACATATAATAATATCATTAACATATACTTAATTTCATTCATGATACAATAAATGATTACTCAATAGGAGTAACTTATATAAAATCAGTTTATCAAAGAATTATCTGTCAATGAAAGTGATAAAAGTACACAAAGTAATATTTACTATTGTAAAAAGCTTAAAGTATAAAGATTTATGAAAATTTTTGTTTCTATGTTTCGGTGGCAGTATTCTTGTGCACCAACGATGTATCATCGTTGGTGCACAAGAATAGTGACACAACTAAAAAATTTCCAATTTCGAGTTTATTGTAGAAATGTATAGCAAACTCCCCATATCTTTATGTGGAAGAACGAACACTAATATTTATTTCCGAAAAAAGATTGAAAATTTAAAAAAATCCAAGATCATGACAAAGCCTTGCAGGAAACAAGAAACTTTTAAATAGCTGTTCTGGAAGAACTATTTTTTTGAGTTGTGTCACAATTCTTGTGCACCAACGACATATCTTTGACATTATGCTAGGGTTGTAGCACATATTCATAAGAACTAAAAACTTAAAGGAACTAAGGGTCCAAAAGTGAATCTTGAAATTTGTCTATATGATAATATTGAAGATCCTCAAAAATGGAGTGAAAAATCCAGAACTATTTCTCAAAACAATGCTAAAAATCAACTGTTTTCCTTGACTAGAAGCAACTAAAGCTTATAGGATGCAATAAATGCTATTATGCCAAGAACTTGGGGTGTAATCAAAATTGCACTGTGTGGTCTGTTAAGATTATTGTAAATGTAAAAGTGGTCTGGTTGGTCATTCCAATGATATTTATTGCAATAAAAAGAAGAAATGCCTGATTATTATGGCATTCAACTAATTAACTCTCATTTCGATGACGTGTTTGTTTGATCATTCCTTGCTTGAGAATGAAATTTGTCAAGCTTGTACTTCTAAGCTATCTCTACTATTCTCACATTCATTTCTAACTACCAATGTAATAAAAGTCCAAAAAATAGCATCTGCTCACCTTTAACAAACATTCTATTGTTTATATTGTTCACAACATATTCTATTTTTCTTAATGTTATTAAGATAATTATAAATAATTAAATATTTACATACAATTAAATAATAATCTTAATATTTCATTAAGATTTTAGTTTTAATAATCAAATGATAAAGCCAAGATTCATTATCAGGCTATAACTTTAATAAATACCATATTTCTGCACACAAAAGAGCATGCTCTTATAGATGGGTTAAAATTGGCACTATATTCCACAAAATATGTACCTAAAAATACTATTTTAAAAATGTTTGCAGTACAGTATTTGACTATTTTTATTTTTAATAATGGTTACCACAGAGATGTCACCAAATAGTTACTGTATCAGTACATTTACATTTAATTAATGTTGACACAACAGTGCATTGCTCTTATAAGACAAAACAAGCTAACATAAGGAACAAATTTCCAGTACCAATTCTTTATAATCAAAAAAACAATCAATCATGTTTTTTGTCATGCTCCTAACTTTTACTTTATTTACTTTTTCTAAAACTTTCAATTTTCTATAATTATAATATACAGGGTGATTCAAAAGTCACAGATATTTACAAAAATTAATAACTCACACTATTTACAGTAAGATGATGCAGTTTTCACAGAAATGCTTAGAAAGAAATGGGATTTTTTTATGTGAAATAAAAATTTTAATACCAAAATAGTTACATTTCTTGTCATAGATTACATAATTTGTGAAGTTGTTACTAGAGCTTACACTAAGAACATTTTTATTTTTTTCTTCTTTTTACTTTAACAAATTTACAAATGATTTCAGTTTTTTACAGTGCCATCTATGGCAAGAAATGTAACTATTTTAGTACTAAAATTTTTATTACACATAAAAAAATCCCGCTTTTTTATAAGCATTTCTGTGAAAATCACATCATCATACTGTAAATAGTTTGTGAGTTATTAATTTTTTAAGAATTTCTGTGACTTTTGAAACATCCTTTATAAATCACAACAATAAATCTGTAAAGTAATATAACTTTTCTGAATGTAAGTACAAGTCAACCCCCCTATAACACTGTTGATTATTCTGTTTTATATGAATTCCATTTTGTACGAGTCACTTAGATTTTACAAATACGTTGTGCCGGGTTGTGAACGGCTCACGTATTTGTAAAATCTAAGTGACTCATACAAAATGGAATTCATATAAAACGGAATAATCAACAGTGTTATAGGGGGGTCGACTGTAAATCATTTCTTATTTGCTTAGTTTTTATCATTATTTGTCAAAATATTTTTATACAGATACAAATTAACAGTTTAATAAAATTGGTGTTATTGGAAAAAGGCATGAAATAATAAGATGAATTTGATAAATTGTTTGTAATGTCTATTAGTATGCTATTCTACATTAATTATTAAATTTAGTAATACACCAAAAGTACTTTGTGTGAATTTATGTAAATTATTTTTTATAGCAATGTTGACACCAAAGTTTGAATTAAATCAAGATGATGAATTTCTAATTTTACACATTAAAACACCTTTTGCCAAGGTAATCATGATTTCATATTTTATTACTTGTACTGTGTGAATATTAAGTAGCAATTGTTGTGTGTCTAACTTTTATCAGAGATTACAAACATAGTTGACATTAAAAAATTTATGAAACTGATTAAAATAAAGATTTAATCATAGCCATAAAATGTTTAGTCTACATTTGTGAAATAGTTAATTTTTCTGATAACAGGATTTTCTGTATATTTTCAGACCTGTGATTTATATAAATGATGATGACATATTCTCACATTATAATGATGGTCTCCAATCTATTTATAGAATTGAAAAATTAATGCATAGGGTAATTTATTAAATATTCAAGTTATTTATACAGCAGCAAGTCAAAATAATCAGATTGAGTCATCAAATTCTTTAATTTAAATTACAAAATTGTGTTGCTTGCACTAACAGGCCTTGAGCATTTTTACAATTCGATTTCTACAAATACAGTTTGAACTATATACAACACTGAGATATCCAAAGAGAAAAATACTGCAATTAACTATAGAATTTTGTAAGTCATAATAGAAAATTTATTTTAGATGTAAAAACAGAGAATTGTGAATCAAGTGGCTCTAAAATTGAGGTCTGTTGTATTAGTAAAACATCACAGAATACTGTATTTGGCAATGAATTATTGTTTGTAACCTGTTAAAAGTCTTATTATTATTTATTAATGTTGTGTGTACATATATATTACATGTAAATTTTTACATATAAAAAAATAGTTATTATAATAAAATTTTTTAACCCTGAAAATTGTTGTTTTTACAGATCTCTGAAACAGAAATATATTTTCAAGATTATGATTTTAAATTTTTCTCAAAACCTTATTTTTTGAGGTATGAATTACTCAATATTTACTAAGAATCAGAACTTAATTATAACATTTTCATTACATATGTAAAAACAATCAATACTAAAAATAAATATAGTTTATCCATTAATCAGAATGTATTTTTATCTAATATCATATAGTGATTAACATTTTTAACATTTTGCAAGACCATTGGAAAATAGTATTAATTATAAATTTCTGATCTACTGTAGTAGCAGAATTACATAAACCAGAATTGAATTCCTGAAAAATTTTCTACAAAGTTTTAAACCTGGTTTCATTGCTATTCATATAAATATCAGTGTCGACAAGTTAATATTTAATTAAAATTTAGAAAAAAAAAAAATATATATATATATATATATATATAGCAGCTATCAAAGATTTATGTTGAAAGATTCTAAGAGGAATAAAAAGTACAATGCTTATATTTGGATATAACTTTAAACAACAATATAATACTTTATTACTTGATCAAGCAAAGAATTGAAGTTGTAAATTCTGACAA